CTCGATCCGTTGTGTCTAGACAATTAATCTGGAGCTCTAACAGGCGGTCGCATGGTAACTCTTCAGATGCAACTGGGGAATAAATGGACAAAAACAGGGATAGCCATAAGGAAAATTGGACTTTACTTAAACGCCACTGACTAGAACCATGCTTAAAAAGAGCCGTTGTCGAAACACAACTAAGCCACCAACCCACGGTCCTTTTGGGCGGCTATCCACTTCCGACTGGTCCCTAACCGTACCTTGACGCAGTGGCTACTCAATGCTCCTTCGCTAGTACCAACACCGGCTCGACCCGTCCATATCCGACAGCTGTCCCGATTGCGGCGTCTCTCTGCATGACTGTCAGCATCTTTTCGCCTGCAGTTCCCGGCCAAGCACCCAACAATTGGCTCAAGCCGATCGAGGTCTCGGCTGTTCCTCATCTTCCAACTCAAACGAGTTTGGACTCCGGTGGGGACTCCTGATCCAAAAAGGTCTACGACACACACCAGGCTTAACATAACTTTTGTCCGACTGAAGATTTATGCGCCAAACTGCTCGCGCTGAAGGCGTCCGGCAGCACAAGAAATCGCAAGTGGTACATAATCACACACACACACACACACCTACTACTAAAATAAGCAGTTCAGGCATCCATCACAGTAGGTCGTATTTGGCGTGGTGAGGGTTGACATTTGAGATGTTCTAGGATCGGCTTTTTCGAATATACATATATGTACGGTATCATACGGACACTGGCTTACCTGCTGGGAGGGTAAATTCACGACATGCAGGTACAGAGCAGAAAATTTTCTCAAGCCGCTGAATCGGAAGATAAATTCCAAAGTCTCGAGGCTACCGGCCGATCGGTCGTCCCAGCGGCCACGATTCCAACCAACCAGACAGTCGGCGAGCTCGCTGGCATCGCGTCTGTAGGGATCGAACAGGCTGAGGACCTTACTTTGGGAAGCAACCCGGGTGTCGGAAAGGCAGCCCAGGCCACCGTAAAGCACCTCGCCACGGGGGTCGCGTTGACCATCGTAACAGCGGTCCCGCAGAACACCCTTACGAAAACCGGGGAAGGCCAGTGGACGAAAGCTGGCCTCGTTGACACTCCGGGACAACCCGGCTGGCTGGCCATCGAGGATTTGGGGGTCATCCAGGTGACTACCTTCGGGAATCT